TGTAGATAAAATGTTTTTTTTTTTTTTGAAATTACAGAACCGAATTTAAACTATTTCTTCCGTCAAATCCTTCTGAAAATTTTCATAAAATATGTAAATTGGTTTTAGGTGAAAGTATTAAGAAACTAATGCTTGAAAGTATATTCGAATAATTCTTCACAATTTTTTTAAAATTAATAAATATTGTTAAATTATATTGTTCAGATTTGTGCGAAACTCCTAGTTGACGTTCGTGGAACCCTCGGGTTCCGCGAAATATACTGTAGTTTGAGTAACCATGCATTAATGCACTGTGGCACACTTATAGAGCCACAAAATTGGAATTGTCCCGATACGAAAAAGGATAGCTACACCACCGACTCAAAGGTATTAAATACCTACATTGTGCAAATTAATTTTTCTTGAAATTTGTTGTCAATATTTCTTCATTACAATCCCAAAACTTATATTTTATTCAGTATGGATATAAGATATTTCTCAAAAATATGAAAGCTGACAAAACGTAGATATCAGCTCCGCGGTGTAGGTTTTTCTATTTCGGCTTCACAGGAACACACTTGGTGATGTTTGTAATGTTCTGTCTAAAGCAGGTTTAAGGCGGCATGCATTTATTGCCACGACATCGAGATGGGAAGGGTGATGATGAATGCTGACACGGGGGAGGGGAGGTCATCCGAGTGTTTGCGCATACAAAATAATTCATTTATTTTGGAATATTCTGTTATTAATTGACATTTATTGTACACGTGATTGCGCAAGTGGGGAGGAGGAGGCAATAGTGATGAATTTTATACAGAAGGGGTGGTAGAAAAAATGAAGCAACATCTGTGGTCGGAATATGTGCACGCCAGCAAATGCGTAGATTCCGGGGAGGATGTCCATGTCCAACAATCTAACCGACAAAATCGTCAATGAAACGATTAAAACACGCATGTGTGCCACCAGCCTACCAGTTCCAGAAACCAGTTAAAATACGCATATGTGCGGCCGCAGGCCGTGCACATTAAACTCCCGTCGCGGAGATCAAGTAAGCTGACAGCAATCGGAAATTCGATCGACATGTAGCGCCCGACTAGCTTACAACCGTCAATCGATTCATAGACTTTACATGGCAAACTTTGACCTCGAATATCAGCCTCTCTATACATCGAATTTCAAAATTCCTGCTTCGTCGCGGCATAGGCCATGCCGAGATGTACAGTACATACAGGATAATTATAAAATCTCTATCCATTTTTGTAATAATGGTAACAAAAACATTTGTATGCAGGTCGTGTGAAACATGCTGATCCAAGAGAGAACCGCTGATGTTTGCGTATGTTTTAGTGGATAAATATACACGGAAACACGGGCAATCTCCGCCCAGAGATTCAGGAAGTCTGCTCCTACCAGGGACAATATCAAACTGTTGGTTACCAAGTTCGGATCACTGTTACCAAATTGCCCAAGGACAATTTTTTTTACTCTCCGCCCTGTGGGCAGTAAGAGGCGTCTTATAGCAGGCCCATTAGGTTCGGCCAGGCCCACGATGGGGTTGCCGGGTGGTTCCGGGTGGATCCGACATATCCGAACGGACGACCCCACGAAAAGTTCCTGGGGATTCCTTGACCCGTCCGGATTAGATCCCGGGTCCCCCAGAGCGGTAGGCTGTCACCTTGACCGCTCGGCCAACCCCCAAGGACTATTATTAAAAACAATATAAAAGCCGTTGTCTGTGTGTAGTGAATTCTTATAACTCCTGCAGTTTTTGTCCAATCCAGATGAAAGTTTGATTATATTCGTTTTATGTTCTGACGGAAAGTATAGGCTACTTATTTTGCAGAAATATTAGCTATAGAATAAACGTTTTATCGATTTCGGATCGGTGATAGCACATTGTACAGTACATACGACACTATTTCGATATCGTATTCATGGCCACGCGCAAAATATGCGTGCGGCCATGAATACGATAATGCTGTACCATACATCGACCATCGATGCATCGTACAGCATTAATTTGCAATCATCTTTATTAGAATATTTTCCAAAAATCAGTGATGATACGTACAGTGGTACCTCAGGTTACGAACGCCCCAGGATACGAAATTTTCAGGATACGACATGAAATTTGTACATATTTTTGCTCCACGATACGAACAAAAACTCACCATACGACGTTACATTAGTTCGCATTTTTCATTTGTTTTTCTTACTACAGTTATTTTTTTAAATGTATTACTTGGCTTTAATTTGAGTATGTTTTTCGCGTTGGAACGAATTATTTGGTTTTACATGTAATCGTATGGGAAAAGATGATCCACCTTACGACATTTTCATGATACGATCTCAGTTTCGGAACGGATTAATTTCGTATCCTGAGGTACCACTGTATTTGGTTGAGAAATCCATATAGTTACAGTCAAATTATCCAGCTTCAGTATGCACGGTTACCAAAGTCTTGATTTCATCTCTGACTCATTTAAAACAAAAGTTGAAGGTATTTCCGCTAAATAATTTTTGGTGTAGCTTAATTAATAGCAAAATGGGGAGGGCACGGTTAGATATTGTCACTGGTGATGCTAGTGTCAGCTTGATACCTACTTAATTTCTGGCAGTGCTTTAAAATAGTCAAAACTGCGAGGAAGTTTTTTATTTGCTTATAAAACCTGGATTTAAAGAATGTAACAATTGCTGAATTAAGAAAGAAATTAAAAGAATTAGGTGCCAAAATATACGCGTCGTCAGTGGGATTTGTAGCTTCCTTTATCCCCCGTATACAGTTATATCACAAAATTGGGCTCCGATTGATGTTTATACTGTTTAACGATTAAAAAAACAATATTTTTAAGCTTGAATTTTGTTTTTATTGCATAAAATGTTGGTTAACTCAGGCTGGCCACCATTGCTAAAATAGTGACCAGCCTGGGTCACCATTAAAGCACTGGCCCTAATTCATTGTTACTATGATTTTCATGTCGATATTGACGAAGTTTTAAATTTTTTGGGTCGTTTATGACCCAAAAAATCCGGAGCCTTCTGCGTTCTTTGATCCATCCGTAAATTTTTTCATTGTTCTCTCTGTTTCAATTAAAATTTTGACAAGAACTTCTGATCGGGTGGCATTTTAGATAATCTGACTATACACACAGTGAATACTTAGCATAACTGTGAAAAGCACTACGTGTACAGCACAACATACAGTTTTTACCAAATAAAAATCATTCTACTTATACAAAGTAACACTTCATAAAACATATACAGTACTGTAAATTAGAAAGCGCCCTAATAACTTGCCCATACTAGTAACTTCATAATAGTTTTCAACAAAATGCCTGATACAGATCCGAATGTATTGACTGATTAACTTTCGAGTTTTTATCTTTACATTTCATTCTTTTCTCCTTATTGGGCCATTTCGAAATTTGTGAAATTTCAAACTTGGACATTTCTTATTAATGGCATTACACTGAGACATAACAATTAATCGCCTTTTTTATAATATTTAAATAAGTAAAAAAAGCAATTTTAAACAATCTAAACACGGTATCACTGAAGAATCAGGAAACATACCCCGCGTTTCTTTATGCAGCGAGAGTGTAACGAAATGACGTCACGAGCAGTGTTGGCCAATTATAAACCAGTATCAGTGTGTTCGCTGTAAAGCGCTTCTCGAGCGCTGCATAAAGAAACGCAAGGATAGCCATACGCACCGATACTAGCGCCACGTATTGCAAAGCTAGACGCTTGTATTGCATTGAAGAGTGCATGTCCTATACTTAAGATTACCACGTGTCCCGATTTTTCAGGATTTGACCGACTTGGAACACTTCGTCCAAGAAAAAAAATCGGAAACAAATTCCAGAAATCTGTTAATTTCTACTCAAAAATGATATATTTGTATTAAAAAAGTCGAATAATTGTATTATCTGTCGTACAGACATATCGTATGCACCTGTCCTCATACGCGTATGCCACTAGTAATCCGTGGAACACGCGTTGTATTTTGTTGGTGCTATGCGATGGTTTCGTGCAATCATCAACAATGGATCAATGGTTAAGTGTAGCCATACTCTAGCTTTTATTTTTCATTTATGTATTTTATTTATTGATTTTTTCCGCTCTGTGGGACTAAAACATTTATTTTTAATTATGTTTATCAGCGGTTCGGCCATGTCCACAATAGAAGTATGCAAGTCAAACAAGTATATTTACTTCAACAAATAATAAAATGTTCAGTAATTGATAATTCAATAAAATATAGCTTAACTTATTATTTTCTAGAGTAGTTACGGCTTATCTAATGCTGGGATCCATCAAATTTTACCACAATGCTACTTAATTACAATATCCAGAATTTATGCTTTTGAACTTATGATAATCTTAGGTGGTACCTTCATGAATTGTAATCTCATTAGCTACGAAGAATTTATCAATTAATCTTAAAATTTCGTCTAGAGTTATCAGAAATAAAGAATATAAGAATTCACTACGAAATTCAAGTCACAAAATTTAAAATTTTCCAGCAACTTTTAAAAACCATCTTTGTATTCGGCATGTTTGGTTTCCAGTATCTACGAATCTTAGAAGGAACAAATATTTTTCTTATATAGCCTACAATGCACTGTGCACTAGCGGCATCTTTATTTCCGACATATGCGAATCCAATTCAATTAACTTGTCATTAACGAGTATTGGCGTTACCAGAGAGGGGTCCACGGAGCCCGGGCCTCTTCGTAATGAAAAATAATTTAATTGTTGAGTTACTTACTGGCAGTAATATATATATTATAATCATGTATTAAAGTGAAAAATGATGTATAATGATTCACATTAAATTTTAACGTCAGATCTGGTTAAGCAAGTTAATGAGAACTTCGAAACAGAAAGTAATTCTCGTTTTAACATTTCTCTTATCAACCACAAATCATATTCATTTAGTTTAATAATAATAATAATAATTCTAAACACTGCTAGTTATCAAAAAATATTTATACAAGAAAGTAATTAATTATACTTACTAGTTTTCTGCACTTATTTCGTAATTGCGAAGATGTTCGGCACGCGCCACTACGTAAACATACACGAACGTATTGGCGGATAGATACTTTGTTTCATTCGATGGATGTTATCTGCTCGTCTTTTTCCCTTAATCCATTTAATACAGGCTAAATCGCACGTGAATGATATATTAGATGATTACTTCGTTAATTTTTGTACATACACCTATCTCTACGAATATCTATACGAAGCCCGCCAAGATAGCGTTCCGCGCTATATTTGATTAATTAATATATCCATTATTATTATCGAAAAAAGTAGTGTTAAAAATTATAGCGATATAAGCATAGTGTATATTACAAACATGCCAAATCTTAACTTATTTTTAAAATTGATTTTTCACGAACAGTTTGCTGTGAACACAATTTGAGAAACGCTATACTGTATTAAGCAATATCAATTAATAAATTGATTTAAAAATAATCATCTTACGCCAAACTTATAAATTGATTTTTATCCTGTCGTTTATTTTCTCAGTTACGTAAGAAAATACGAAAACTTATTTTATTCTTTAATTCAAATTTCTGTAAATCTCTCTATTGAGAGGAATGGCAAAGTAAGATTGGATCCAGGATTTTTTAAAAACTCACATTGTCGCATTGAAATTGTCTTTTTTTGAAAATATTCATTATAGTGCATCTAGACATACCATAGAAGAAATTGAAGCGTAGGATCCGATATATCTATGCCATTTTATTTCATTTCTGGAATTTTTTTCCGTCCTGAGAACACGAGGTTTTTTTTTAATCGTACACGACACGAGTACAGCTGGCTGGTGAGCGATGAAATCCAATATATCCGGGTCAACACCACTATAAAAATGATACGAGAAGAACGAATCCGATTCGAACTCAAATCCACATGGCTATAGTGGGGCTTTGCGAATTTTAACTTTTAAGGTTTCATCTAATTTTTAAAACTAATTTTAGATAGCAAGTTTTTGTGAATTATTTATATCTTTTTTAATAATAAATTTATAATGATTACAATTTTAAATTTAATGTCAATTTAAAACTCATTAATTTTATATTTATGTAAATAAATACATTAAAATATATTTCTCTATGAAGAAACAAATTTATATCTGGTTTTTTTAATGCATAGTTTAATGCAAAAACATGTGTATAAATTAAAGATACAGATTTAACATCCAGTAAATAAATTAACTGTGATAATCATAATTAAGTGATAACTAATTTTATAATTTATTTAAAGAAATGGGTAAGGATAAATATTTCTATCCAAAACATTTTTCATATTTACTTTTTGACTCATATTATTTTGTTAAATATTAATTACATTCAATCTTTTCAATATAACATTCTATTTAACTATTATAAAGAATATTCAAAACTCAAAAACTGAATTTACCAAAATAATATTTTCTTACTATAAGGTATGACTAATGTTTCTGTTAACAATATATATATATACAAATACACATTTTTTAACACTTCAGCCTTGACATATTTATTTGTCACAATATAAATATCAATTTCAAAATACACAAAGCAAACAATATGGCAATAACAAAAAGAACTACTTGACAACATCTCTGTAGAGTTCCATGAACCATATGACTCCTATGTCTGTCACAACATAAACCTCTGAAAATAACAAAGAAATGATCACATACTCCTGGCAACAAGAGCCTGGAAAAGGATGGACAACTAGGTCCCCATAACCAACAGAATAATAATAAAGCTTTTATTCAGTTATTGATTTTTCATAAGAAAAACTTAATCTAGATTACATAAAATAAATCAGAAATTTTTTAATACCAGATGGTATATCTGTGTCTTTGGCATCATTTTTAATTATATTCATTAAATGAGCTTTACAAGCAGAAAAAAAGATTAAAAAAAAGGTCCATCTTTATCAAGGCTAAACCAGGGAAAGACTTATTTGTCACAATCGTGTTGCCATAGAGGACATAATCTACCATGACAGTACTGGGGCTGGTGATATTCCTGCCATAGTATGATATCACCAACAATTACATCTGAATGGGTGAGGATGACTACGACACTGGGGAACACAAATTAACAACACATCAGTCTGGTTTTTCAATCAATTTTCTACTGCTGACACCATATTCAAGGCATATATAACATCTACTGTTTTTTACATCATGCAGTCTATAATTATATACTGCAAGAAATTAAAAACCTTCCTGTGGAGGGATATGTTTTACCTGCTGTAGACATTAACATTTGCTTTAGCCATTCAGGTAACACAGTGCAACAATGGGGGAATTATGGTTGGAACACATTTGACACGCACACATACACACACTCAGGCAACGACTTGGTTTTTTTTTAAACTGTTTTTTTTTTTTGGGGATGAAAACTGGTCCACTATGCAAATCATTTGACATTTAGTTTCCCTGTAGCAAAATGGACACGGGTCATATTGCACCATATGTCGGTGATGGCAATTGATTTAGATAAAAAATAAACACGAAACATTGTAATCTTAGTTAGATCTGATGACAGTTTTCCAAAATAGATTTCCTAAATGTAAAAGTTTCTCCAGCATTTTAAACACACAATGACGTATTTTTTCAAATTTGTTAATGGCTCTACACCTGAAATTGTAATTCTAATAAATATTAATGACTGGACAATAGACCCTGTTGATACCATTAACCCAAAAATCATTCTCCGACTCGGCCATTGGAGAACTTATATTTTGGGGTCTAAAGTATAAAGCTTAGTAGCTAAATTGGGATAATTCCCATGGTATTTTTCCGGTTGGTACCACTAAGGCCCCAAAAAGTACAAGTCCCCGAGGGAAGGCGACAATGTGTAGTCTACCGGTGAAAAAATCGATGCTGGTGCAAGGCAGAATAGTTAACGTTATCTGTTAGTTTATTTCTGTTTCAGGTACTTGACATTACCAAAACATGCACATAGCCTGTTAAGAGAAACTATGTACCAGCCAGACTATTTAACAACTAAATGAGTATAACATGTACCTCATTTTGTCCCTGGACTCTAAAGAATAATTTCTTACTAATAAAAGTCATCTCTGTACCTCACAGATGGAATTATCGATGCCTTGAACTTTAATTTGGTCCAACATTGTGCTATTAAAATTTGGAATGAAACTATAGGATTTTTGGTATTTAGGATTACATTGTGGTTCAAAGTGGAATGTTGATATTGAATTTTTTTCTCAATTTGTACATGACATTAGTAACGGCAAAAACACTAATACACACAAAAATCCACATTCACAGGCTATTGTGCAGCTCCATATGTGAAAAATATGCTATTTCTTTTTATTTTTTTACTTTTTTCCATGTGAAAATTGGTTTTTTTCCATTTCACAGAGGATTCTGCAGATAATCTGCAAAAAAGAAAATTGATCTCCCATATGACAATATAATCATACCCCTACTAATATATACCGGTATATATATATATATTTATATATTTATTTATTTATATTTATGTAAGTGTGTATGTGTATGTGTGTGTGTATGTGTATGTATATATATGTGTATGTATATATATATATATATATCCAGTTATCACAAAACAGCACCGCCCCTGCAGTTGCTTAACATTAATAATCTGTGCTTTAGAATACTACTGTACAAATTTTCTTTGAGAACATAAATTGAGATCTATCAACAATGTGTGTACTTCAATCCAAATAGCGTGTCCTAAATGGAAGTAAAATCACAGAGATATGATCCCTATTTCGTAGTATGGGCCCTAACTTCCAAATATTACACCATTGCTGCACATAAAAACCACTTATTTTCTCAATATAATATTACAATTTTTTTAAAATGTTTATTAATATAAGACAACACATTTTTTCAGGAATGATTTTTTTCTCAGCTTGAAAGGATCACAGTAAGTAAAGACTAGCTTTCTCTTTTGGACATTCCTTTAAGCAAAACACATAAGCCTGTTCTAAAGGCACCCCGTGCAATATATGTAGCAAAGTGCTGAGGAGTGTTCATACCCCTTTTTTTTTTTTTTTTTTTTTTTTACTGTTTAGAGTGCTTTTGTAATAGCACTTCAGGCTATTCTTTTATTCACATTCAAAATTACAAGCAATCTCTCANCATTTTTTTTTTTTTTTTTTTTTTTACTGTTTAGAGTGCTTTTGTAATAGCACTTCAGGCTATTCTTTTATTCACATTCAAAATTACAAGCAATCTCTCATTTATTGTCAGCTACATCATTTGTATTGTCCTCTGTCTTTTCTGAAGAAGCAGTGGACGATTCAGCTGACATTAACACTGGTGCTGATGATGACTTCCTTTCTGGTGATATTGACCGTTCCAATGTTGACTTAATTAAGGTTTCTAATATTCCAATATCTTGGTTCTTTCGTTTTTGTTGGGCTTCCTCGTGAAGGCGGGCATTTTCTTGTAACTTCCTCATCATTTGAGAAGCAAAGAAATTATTGGAATTTAATTGTGAAAAATCCATCGAAAAGAATGGCATGGTTTGCCATAATGATAACTGGGACGGCAGAGACAGACCCATAGCAAACTGTTCAGAATCCATCAAAGACTTTAATCCATTAGGGGGGTCAATATTTTCGGATACTGAATTATTCTTCTGCGTTTTACTATTCGAACCATTGGTTCCAATAGAGCTAGTGTTTTTAACATTTGTTATGGGACTCTGACCACTCTTTGATAATAATGAACAAGATCCAATATTGGAGGAACTAGCAATGTTTTCTCGTTTTCTAGGTCTTAAGAGGTGACGTTCTTTCACTTTATATTCTAGAGTTGAATGTGGTACCCCAAAATAAGTCCCTGCTCTGTGTACACTCATTTCACCTCTTTGGACAGCACGCACTGCACGTGCCAGATTATCTCTATCATAATTCCGATATCGTCCCCGCTTTGGACGAGTGCGCTTTTCTGATTTAGAATTATCAACAGAAGAAGAATTATAGTGAACAGATTGTTTATGACTTGCAGATGGTGTGCACGATGTGCTGTTATTATTAGAACACTTTGCGTCATTAGAAACATGAGGCCTTTTAGATGGTGGACCATCTTCAAACAAGTGACTATTATTGACTTTCTGACTGATACTTCTTGCTATTAATTCTTTTAATGATACAGTGATTCCCTTGTTCCTTGCATGGCCATGACTAGATGAAGACGAGGAGCCAGATGTACAGGATGATGAAGGCAATACAGGGGAACTAGAGACCACAGTATCACTGTTTGTAGGAGGTGATTTGGCGGGTTTGTAGGACGGAATCTTTAGTATCACATTTGCAGATGAGTCAGCACCACCATCATCAATTGAACCTTCTGCCGCACTGCTTTCCTGAGGACTTTTTTGTGAATCATGATGTTGCTCCCTTTCAATAACAAATCGTTCTTCCATAAGGCGACGAATCAAATCTTGAAGTAATGGCAACTTGAGGTCATCTTTTAAGGCAGAAATCGTTGGATTATTGTAGTTTTCTTTATATTTAGAAAGTGCGACTTGTTGAATATTTGAAATTATCTGAAACATATGTTCAAAGAATATTAAAATTATACTTTAAAAAATACTAATAATAATAAATATTATTGTTATTCTTAATAAGTATCACCATAATAAAATTTTAAGTGCTATGTCTTAAATTATAATTACAGCGGTACCTCAGGATACGAAATTAATCCGTTCCGAAACTGAGATCGTATCATAAAAATGTCGTAAGGTGAATCATCATTTCCCATACGATTACATGTAAAACCAAATAATTCGTTCCAACGTGAAAAACATACTCAAATTAAAGCCAAGTAATACATTAAAAAAATAACTGTAGTAAGAAAAACAAATGAAAAATGCGAACTAATTGTAACGTCGTATGGTGAGTTTTTGTTCGTATCGTGGAGCAAAAATATGTTCGAATTTCATGTCGTATCCTGAAAATTTCGTATGCTGGGGCCTTCATAACCTGAGGTACCACTGTATTAAGATTATTTTAAATTACAGTATGTGATTACTATAACACAATTATGATTATGTAAAAATTTTCCATCAAATCAGATATACAATATTCATTTATTTGTAAAATATAACAAGTCTCCAAATTAATAAGCAAAAAAAGCACAAAAAATGGTAACATTTAAAAAAAAATTTAAGAATTTATTGCTTAATTTATAACTATATATATTTTGTTACACACTATAACAGAGACAATTTAATCTCTTAATATGCTAACAAATTTTATATGAAAATTTATTAATTTTTAAACATTTTTAAAATCAAATAAATCATTTGAATAAATCTTTAATTTTCCAGATTTATATAAATGAGTTGATTTTAATTTTTTCATTCGTTTTAATAAATTCTCTGAAGAGTAGGGCAAAGAAATCTAAAAAATATTGAAACAAAATAAATAAATTTGTTTTTACATATGTAGTGTGTATAATTATTATAGGAACTTTAACTTTATCATTCCTTAATCTTCAGATTACTGTAAGAAAATCAGTTTTTTACATTTTAAGAAGTCAAAAATACTTACAATAAATGTCTCAATATATAACTAGTCAAAATACCTTAATTTTCTAGGAATTATTACATCCACAGATGCTGTAATCTATATATATATAAGAGAAGAGGGATATATGCAAAAAATTAATAATACTACATACATTAAAAAACATGGTGATGAGGTAACAGATGTTAAGATGTTTTTGTTAAATGGATATAATAAATATATTAAATAAATGATTAACAAAACACCTAAAAAAGAAGAAAAAGGAGACATGATAACTAAATTATAGAACCATACATTTAGCAAAATAATTTACACACAGAAACTTTTCTAATAAATTAAGAAAATATTTTAACTAAGTAACATTATATTAATCCCTGATCAAGAAAATAGAATAAAACAAGTATTATATAAACCAAGAGCACCAAAAGCAGTAGATGATAAAATTTATAATAGACTAAAAAAGACAGGTATGTTATACAGATTTAATTGTGAATGTAAAGGGCCATTCATTTACATCAGACAGGAGAGAGCTACACAAAAGAATTAAAGAGCATGTCTGAGTGATAAAGTATGATTACAAGAATTTGAGTGTAACTAAACATTGTATGAAGAATGGATATCAAATTGATCTTAATACATTAAAGATAAGTTCATTTAGTGATGAATATGATGAAGAGAAAGTTGTTTGAACACACACAAATGGTTAAAAGTAAAAAAAAACTTTTATTACTAATGAACAAAGATGACAGAATAAATTTACACGAACTGTGGAATTGGTTTTTGACTGATAGGGAACAGAAGGAAAGGTGTCTGGCTGTTGGAGTGTTGGAAAATGATATGATGAAGAACGAATGAAAGCAACAATAGCAAGGACTGTGAATAACAAAATATTGTTAACAAGAGAATACAGGTAGTACAATAATGTTTTAATATGTCAATTTTTTAAGATTTTAATATGAAAGTAGTTAAACATTTGGAACATTGAAATTGGAAGGTAATTTAATGGCTTTTGGTGAATATAATTGTAAATTTATTGTAGTTATTTTATATTTACTAGTATCAGAAAAGTGTTTATGTCTTGTTTAGCTTGTATGGAAGAAAACTCACTGAGGAAGGAAATATTATAATTTCTGAAATACATTTGAGTAAAATAAAGTTGTTGATTGGCTAGTGATTATAGTATAGGTCAGGGGTCGGCAACCTGTGGCTCGCGAGCCACATGTGGCTCTTTGGATGTGAAGCTGCAGCTCTTTAATTCCATACACAAATATTATTTATTTTATAAAAAAAAAAAAACCATTTAAAAATCGTTCTGAATCGATTAACGAGGATTAGGCACCGATTCTATCTCTCAGCCACTTGTACTCGCTTTTCACCGCACCCCTCCCCCGTGGCACGCATCGTCACTGTCGTCAGTCCGTCGGAAGCTCTCGAATGACGCCGTTGTCGGATGTTTCTATGAGGTTTAATTTGCTTTCGACGCAAGACAATTCTGAATAAATAGATTAGTTTTTTTTTCAAAAAACTTTATTTATGCAAGTACTATTTATTGTTGGCAAGAAAAAATTTCGTGGCTCTTTAAAAACTTTGAAATTTTGTAAATTGTAATTTTTGGCTCTTCCGACTCAAAAGGTTGCCGACCCCTGGTATAGGTGGATGTGATAATTCCTAAAAAATTAAGGTGTTTTGACTGGTTATATATTGAGATTAATGAAACAAAACAGAAGCAAAGTATAGATTACAATACATGTTATATAGATTCCTTACACTTTATCTTTAAATTCAAAACCTTCAAATCTAAGGATAAGGTCTAAGAAGTTGTGAAAAATGCTTATTAAAAAAATTTTTCATTTCTTAAAATGTTTAATGCTGATTTTCTTGCTAATTATTATATTAAAAATTTCTGTTAAAGATTAATTAGAACAAAGTTCTGACACTAATACATTAGAATTTTTTAACATACAATAAATGTAATTTCATTTCTATACAATTAAAACAAATGCATTTTAATCAAAGTAAATATACAAGTTGTCCCAAAAAAATCTACACTTCAGTTGTCAATAATATCTAGGTTTAGTTTTTAAATTTGAATTTAATTTTACAAATTTGAGTAAATGTTAGAATAAAGATCAGATTATCCATTTCTAAGTCCAATTATTATCCAAAAAATAAAACACTTGCAAGTTATGGGTTTATGTTTACACTTTTTTTTTTGCATTCTATATTTTCATGTAAATATTTATTATAATGAAACTAAGTCAATAAAAATATTACATCAATTGATTTTTAAAATATTTAATAAATTTTGTAATTAAAAAAATGAAATGAAGGATAAATTATTATTATTAACAACAACAACAACATTCCAAAATCTAATGAAACAAGATTAAATTTAACCACAATAATATCACAAATTTTAGTAAATATATTTAAATTTATAAATTTTTCTCACAATTTCATTTAACAGAAAATACTTCTATACTTCTATATTGAAATATCAAAAGATTTCATAAAAAAAAAATTTAACAGTAAGTCTAAGTTCACTTCTAACCAATCCACTGAACACTTAAGCTTTTTACATCATAATTTCTAGTTGTTTGATTGATAATTATAGAATACAACATAACTTAGATAATGAACAAATACAGTCAAACCTTGGCTTTTGAATGACTCACTTTTTGAACAAATCAGTTCACGAACAGAATTTTGAACTCTTAATTGTCACGGTTGCAACATGATAACTCAGTTGCAGAATAAGCTGCTCAGCAAGAGCCAGCCACAATTTGAGAGACACAGATGGTCAACTCCCTACACTTACTACATTAAAAAAGTCAACAGCCTGACCAGTCAACAGGACTACTGATAAAGAAGTTAGTGGCACTGAGATTGCCTCATGTCATTGGATATCATGACACAAATCACTGATGATATTGCTATTCAATTTAGATTTCAATGTGCATGTGAAAAAGATGTATTTCCATTTTTTGGTGTGTGCCACTCTTGAATTTAAATCAAATTAATTAAAAAAACTGCATTAATAGCCATTCATGTAATATAAATGGCATCCAAGAATTCATGTTTAAAGGTGCTTAAGTTAAATTAAATAATAAAAAAATTTATTATATATAATACAGTATTATATTATATATATCAGACAAAAAACTCGCACAAGTAAACTGGAACTATATACTACACACAACAATTAACACCTAACCGCTAATTCCAACACTGAATGAACAAAAATTTTAATGCTTGAACGTTTTCGGACGTCTTTTAGAGGCCCTCCTCAGGATGAAAAACACAAAAAAACAGTTCTATCATTTGAAAACTTCTAACCGCCGAATACAGCTGTGTTCCAAATTTTTAAATATTTAAACGATGTACCGTACGATATAAAACTCGTTATGTTTACAACATAAAAATAATTATTTTAAAATAACGCTATACATAAGTTATTATTATGTTGTTGCAATAATAATTTATGTATAGCGTTATTTTAAAATAATTATTTTTATGTTGTAAACGTAATGATTTTTATATCGTACGATACATCGTTTAAATATTTAAAAATTTGGAACACAGCTGTATTCGGCGGTTAGAAGTTTTCAAATGATAGAACTGTTTTTTTGTGTTTTTCATCCTGAGGAGGGCCTCTAAAAGACGTCCGAAAACGTTCAAGCATTANATATATATATAAAATCTTATTTTTTCCTATAAAAATTAAAATAATTAATTATAAAGTAGAGATTAAAATTCATTTTAAAACATACTTTTATACAAATTATTATCTCTTGTCAATGATTTAATGTATTTAATTGAAATATACGTAGCAATAATCATGTTGCAGACAGAGTGAGAAATAAGTAAACAACAATTCAAATCGGTGTGCATGCTCGCCTACACAGCACTGCTCAAATTCTTGTGCGCGGCAACAATTTGAGCAGTGTGCAGCCATGCAGCTTAGAGGGAACATTGATTATAATTACATTGAAAACAATCAAGATATTCTTGAGTAGGT